GACGTCCATGGTAAAGATGAGGTGTTGGGGACCAGGGAATTGGAAGTTTTGGAGGAGGTGGAGGGCGTGGGTGGTGTCACGGACGTAGGTAGGGAGTTCCTGGACCAAGGGGGAGAAAATGGAGTCGAGATAGGTGGAGATAAGTTCAGTGGGGCAGGAGCAGGCGGAGACAATGGGTCGACCAGGGCAGTCAAGTTTGTGGATTTTGGGAAGGAGACGGAAGCAGGCGGTGTGGTGTTGGGGAACGATGAGGTTGGAGGCTGTGGGTGGGAGGTCACCTGAGGCGATGAGGTTGTGGATGGTTTGGGAGATGATGGTTTGGTGCTCAGGGGTGGGGTCATGATCAAGGGGGCGGTAGGAGGAGGTGTCGGAGAGTTGGCGTCTGGCCTCGGCGATGTAGATGTCAGTGCGCCATACTACAACTGCGCCTCCCTTGTCCGCAGGTTTTATGATGAGGTTGGGATTGGAGCGGAGGGAGCAGAGGGCTGCACGTTCTGTGAGGCAGAGGGTGGAGTGAGTGAGGGGGTGGAGAGCTTGGAGTGGGTGAGGGGGTGGAGAAGTTGAGGCGACTGATGTCACGACGGCAGTTGCAGATGAAGAGGTCGAGGGAGAGTAGGAGGCCTTGGGGTGGTGTCCAGGAGGAGGGGTGTGTTGGAGGCAGGAGAAGGGGTCAATAGGGGGAGGGTTAGGCTCACGATTGAAGAAGTAAGCGCGGAGGCGGAGGCGGTGGAAAAACTGTTCAACGTCCAAGCGTGAGCTGTATTCGTTGATGTGTGGGTGGAGGGGGACAAAAATGAACCCTTTACTGAGGACTGACCGTTCATCCTCAGCGAGGGGGAGGTCAGGGGGAATGGTGAAGACTCGGCAGGGCTGGGTGTTATTGTCTCCTCTGGAGCTGCTGGCTGTGGAGGCCGTGGGCGGAGCGATATCGGCGTCAGTGGTGGGCGGAGCACCGGCGGCGGATGGCGGAGCGGTGTCGGCGGCGGCAGCAGCGGTGACGGTAGGTGCATCCTCAGTGTCTGTGGTGTTGGCCTCAGAAATGGAGACGGTGGCATCAGCAGAGGTGTCGATGGCGTTCGCTGTCCCGGAAGTGGTGTATCTGGGGTACCTGAGCTGGGGTAGGCTTGATTGTAGTGCCAGGAGATGCTGGCGCATTGCTGTGAGTGTGTGTTTCAGGAGTCGCAGGGAGAAACGTTTTTGAAGGATCTCAATGTTCTGAATGTAGACATTGTCGCGGCTGGGGCCAAACTGGGAAGGCCTAAATGTGGACTGTAGTCCATTGGGGATCATAAGCCATCAGAGCCCAACTAGATCAGGAGCTCTCTACAGTAAAAGCCACTTTAAGTCTGAAGAAAACCAGGTTATTTTCCCTCTAGCAACTGCTGTAAGCTGTGATTTTAAAAGTAGTATATCAGAGAACAATTTTAGTAAGTGAACCAGCTATCTTGTGCCTTTTTGCAAATAAATGAAACTATCAGAAGGAGGACCAAGAAGCAGAGTTCTGATTAACACAAGAATCATCTCAGGAACCACTGAACTTCATTCCCAGGCTTTCCTTCCATCTATAACAAACTTCTTTTGTCTGTGCGTGTAAGAAAAATAGAGCTTTAATGAGTAGAGTTACATGCCAATGGTTCATAATTGTTTACCTGTAGCTAACGTCTAATTACACCAAACTTTGTTTTATTAAGCGCCTTATCAAATGGTACTCTGGATAAACCATCAAAAATTATATACCTGAAATACCACGATCTACCACAATGTCCGAATATTTATGCTGTAAATAAAGTATAACACCAACGTTTATATCCCCTACATTATGTTTCCATTACTTGTGTTTTTATATTGATTTTAAGAAGGTGTGCAAATGTTTTTCCATAGACATTTGAGGGATGTGGATGTCTCAAAGCTTTGCTTGGTCAGGGTTTACTGCAGTTATGCATACCTCAATTATCTGGAATATTTGGTCAACTGGCACACTCCTGGTCCCATACGTGGCAGTTAATAAAACGTTTGCTGTACTCTTAATAAATCATTATCTTTATTAAATTTCATAGAATCCCTACATTGTGGAAACAGGCCCCTCAGCCCAACAAGTCCACACTGACCCTCAGAGCCTCCCACCCAGACCCATCACCCTATAACCCACATTATCTAGACGTCCCTGAACACTATGGACAATTTAGCGTGGCCAAACCACCTAGCCTGCACATCTTTGGACTACAGGAGGAAACCCATGCAGACATGGGGAGAATGTGCAAACTCCACAGAAAGTGACCCTCAGAAAGAAGAAATTCCTCATCACTTTCTTATTCAGAAACTGTGCCCCTTAGTTTGAGATTACCTATGAGGGGAAACATCCTGTGAACAGGTATCAAGTTCCCTCAGAATATTACATGCTTTAATAATGTTTCTTATTCTCAGATATAGGCTCAGACTCCAGAGTTTCCTCAATCAACCTCATTAACCTTCTCTGAAAAAACTCCAATATAAGTATTTCCCTCCTTAAATAATGAGTTCAAAGCTGTAAGTGACAGTTTACGTCTGGTCTCACCAAAGTCCTGCACATTTGTTACAAGACTTTGCTACTTTTAGTTACTACTCACCTTCCAATAAAGAAATAGGCTCCATTTGTCTAATTACTGGCTGTAGCTGCATGCTAAATTTTCATGATTCTTATACATGGGCACCCAGATCCATTTGTACCACACCATTCTGCAATTTCTCTTCATTTAAAATAAAAATTCTTCGCATCTTTTCCTTCCCATGAAGTGTATAACCTCAAATTATCTCACAATGTACTCAATCTGCCTCCATTTTGCCTACTTACTTAATCTATTCATATATCTCTGCAGAGTTGTTTTTGTCTTCCACACATCTTGCTTTCCTACCAATCTCTGTATAGTCAGTAAGTTTGGTAAAAATACAGTAATTTCCTTTATCCAAGTCATTAATGTAGATTGTAACTAACTGAGACACCAGCACCAATCACTGTGGCTCTCCACAAGTTAGTTTGTCAACCAGAAGATGTCTTATTTATTCCAACGCTGTTTTCTGTCAGAAACAAAAAAAAAAGAAATTGCTGGAAAAGCACAGCAGGTCTGGCAGAATCTATGGAGAGAAATTAAAGTTAACGTTTCGGGTCGAGTGAGGAAGGGTCACATGTCCCGAAATGTTAACTCTGATTTCTGTCCACAGATTCTGCCAGACCTACTGAGCTTTTCCAGCAATTTCTGTTTTTGTTTTGGATTTCCAGTGTCCACAGTAATTTTGGTTTCTGTTTCTTGTCAGTTAGCCAGTCCTTTTTGGTGATTTTTACCTGAATTATCACCACCATCATGAGGTATGGTCTTGCATAGCAAACTTTTATACAACACTTTATTCAATACATTTTGAAAATCCAAACATACTTCCCCTTTAAACACCGTACATTCTCAAAGAACATTGATAAACTTGTCTAACATGATTTCCATTTCATAAGTACCAATAGAAAAGCGTCCTAATACCCAAGCTACGTTGTTGGGGGTTATTTTAAAAAAAAAAGACAGCCCTGGGTTTGCACATTCTCCCCGTGTCTGTGTGAGTTTCCTCCGGTGGAGGTGAGGTGAATTGGCCATGCTAAAATTGTTTATAGTGTTCAGAGATGTGTAGACCAGGTAATTGTGGGGTTACGGAAATACAGTAGGGGGCTGGGTCTGGGCGGAATGTTTTTCAGAGGTTTGATGCAGATTCAGTGGGCCAACTGGCCTCCTTCCGCACTAATCCTGATAATTGATGATAAAATTGGACACGTTACGACACACACAAGGGGTTGAGCGCGTTGTAAATAGAGCCTTGCTGCTCCTGAAGTTGTACCAAATGTTGGAGTTTCTTCAAAACTTGCTCAGTACCCCAATTTATTTGATTTTCAAACCAAGGTTGACCGAAAGCATAAGCCGGGTTTCCATACTAAAGAAGAATTATTTATTATACATAATTAGACTATATCTAGAGGTAAACAGATAAAATCCACAAACAAATAACACTACTAACTAAAACTCTTAATTCCCTTATAAACTCCCTTAACACACACACAAACACTGACAACCAAATGGGTAAACTAGAATATTATTTGAGGTCAGAAAAAACATGGAAAGTCAGTTCAGTGGTCTTCGCTTTCTGATTCCTGATGCCCTAGGTTTCAGTTGACTTTTTCTGGAAGCTTCCAATGGTTTGTAAGAGTATTGCTCAATTCACTTGGAAAATGTTGCTGATTCCAATTCAAAGGCCATTGCTCACAGTTAGTGCTGTGGGAAGGGTTTTCTTCATGCCTAAACTGATTTTTTTTTACATTGCAGAGAACAGGCAGCATCTGCTGGGGAGAACAACAGCACACCCTTTTCTCTCTATCAGTGTTTTTGCAAACTATTTCCAGGTCCAATCTTTTCAGTTAGCGAGAACCAATCAGTGTTACTTGTAAACAACTCCTTGGCTCCTAATAGTCTGCATATTGCAGGAACACAGACACAAAAAACAAATGGTTCATGATAGGTATTGAATTCTTTGCTGTAAAAGTTTGCAACTGTCCTAGTAATTCTCTGGTATTTCAAAATAAAACTTCTTCTAAAAACTTGTCCATAGTTTTTACAGACAAAAATAAAAAGATAGTCCTTATAAATGCCAAAGTGAAACCTGACTCCATCCCTGTGTATTTAAAATAACAGGCAAAAAACCCAAATCTCCCTAAATTAGAATAGCTTTTGTTTTAAAATACTTATTGTAAATATAAAGTTCACCAACCAATGCTGTGAAATGAAGAGAGTAACTTTACATTACTTAAGTAAGACAAAGAATTGTAAATGCTTGGAGATCTGAAACAAACAAAAAGAAAGGGAAACTGCTGGAGAAACTCAGCAGGTCTGGCAGCATCTGTGAAGGAAAAAAGCAGAGTTAACATTTTGAGTCCAATGACTCTTCTTCAAAACTGAAGAATAGAAAAAAAGGACAGATAAATTACTTACTCTGTTGCATAGCTCATCATTGTCAGTGTAGATGGCGACTTGTCGAATTGCTTCGCCACCTTCATTTAGGAAGAAAGTCATCAAGACAAGGATGTCATAACCAAGCCTTCCAGTAAATACTTTTAAATCGTCAACAATATTTGGACGAGATAGAAAGGCCTGCAACACAGATAAAGAAACAATGACAAACAAAGAATCCAATTAACAAATAATTAAATCCTTTTTACAATTTATTAGTGGTTTCAAAGCTGATACAATCTCAGCAGATGATTCTCTCAGGAGACAACAGCACAGGGTATTTTATTCTTCTTTCGTGTTAACTGGACTTTTCTTTGAAAATGACAATATCTCAGGGCACTTCAAAGGCAGCACAGAATGTGAATGGATTGGAACAGCAAGCCACGTAGTGTTTAAGGATTTGAATGTCTATACCAGAATACCAAACAAAATAATGCATCAAAAAAGCTCACATTATATTTTGTGAAATGAGATGTTCCAGATGCTCCATTTTTAATATTTCTTCAAATATTAATGAGCAGAATCTGTGCTATTAGCCACAAGACATGGGAGCAGAAGTAGGTTTTTCAGGCCATCAAATCTGCTCCACATTCAATGGGTTCATGGCTGATCTATTTTCCTGCCTTTTCTCCCATAACCTCTGATTCCCTTCCTGATTAAAAATCCATCTATCTTAGCCTTGAATGGACTTAATGACCCAGCCTCACCAGCCCTCTGCAGTTAAGAATTCTACAGATTGAGTACCCTCAGAAAAGAAGTTCCTCCTCATCCCTGTCTTAAATGTATGACTCCTCATTCTGACATTAAGTCCTCTGTTCCTAGGCTCTTCCACAAAGGGAAACAACTTTTCATATCTAACGAATCAAGTCCCCTCAAGACATACGTGCTTCAATAAGATCCCCTTTCATTGCTATAAATTCGAATGAGTAGAAGCCTAACTTATAAACTTATCCTCACAAGGCAGTCCTTCCATACCAAAGATCAGTCTCGTGAGCCTTCCCTGGACTGTTCCCCACTGCCAATACATCTTTTCTTAATTCAGGAATCTAAAACTGTTCACAGCTTTCCAGCTGTGGTCTGACTAATGCCTTGTATATTATTAGCTGAACACCCCTACTTTTATCCTCTATTCCCTTTGAAATAAAGACCAATATTCCAATTTTCTTTGCTATTACCCACTGAATTTGGATGCTAATTTTTCATGATTTATGGATGAGGACTCGCAAATTCCTCTGTTCTGTAGCTTTCTGCAGTATTTCTCTATTGAAACAATATTCAGCTCTTTTATTCTTCTGAGTAAAATGCATAATCTCACACTTTTTGCATCTGTCAAGTTTTTGTCCACTGGTTTAACTTGCCCATATCCCTCTATCAACTCTGTGTCATCCTCACAACCTGGACTTCCACCAAGTTTTGTGTCATCTGCAAACTTGGTGATTATACATTAATTTTCCTCATCCAACTGTTAATATACACATTGTAAATAATTGTGGCTCTAGCACTGATCTCTATGGCTCTCCATGAGTTACAGGTTGCCATCCCAAAAATGCCCTGTCTTATCCCAATTGTCCGTCTTTTATTGATTAGCCGACGCTCTAGCCATGCTAATAAACCATCTCTCATTTCACAGGCCGTTATGTTATTAAATAGCCTAATGTGAAGTATCTTATCAAACAGCTTCTGGAAATCCAAATATATTAAATGCACTAATTCCCCTTTATCTATCCTGCTTGATATCTCCTCAAAGAACTCTAATAAATTTGTCAAACATAATTACCCCTTCATGAAGCCATGCTGACTCTGCTTTATTACATCATGCATTTCTAAATGATCTGTTATTACATCCTTTATAATAAACTCTAACATATTCTCAATAACAGATGCTAAGCTAACTGGACTATTAGTTTAAAAAAAAAGAGCTGTGGATGCTGTAAATCAGGAACAAAAAACAAAGTTGCCGGAAAATCTCAGCAGGTCTGGCAGCATCTGTAAAGGACAAAACAGAGTTAACATTGCGGGTCCTGTGACCCTTCCTCAGAACAGTTCTGAGGAAGGGTCACCGGACCCGAAACATTAATTCTGTTTTCTCCTTCACAGATTCTGCCAGACCTGTGTGGGCTATTAGTTACTTGCTGTTTGTCTCCTTCCATTTTTAAATAAAGGTGCTATATTGATAGTTTTCCAATCTTCTAGGGCTTTTCCAGAATCAAAGTATTCAACAACCAGCACATAGATTATCTCTATTGCTACTTCTTTTAATTTCCTAGGACATATCCCATCAGGTCCAGGAGACTCATCAGTCTTTAAGCCCCATTAGTTTGCTTTGCACTTTATCGGACGGGATAGTTATATATTGCCTCTCTTCCTTTTTGCTCCTTGATTGGTTAGTAATTTTGTAATGCTATTCATATGTTCTGCTGTGAAGTCTGATTTACTTATTCAACTCTTCAACCATTTCCTGGTTCCATTATTCTCCAGTCTTATTTTCTATGGGGCTTATGTTGATTTTAGCTCCTCTCTTCCCTTTTATATATTTAAAGAAACTCTTTGCAAGTAATATCAAGACAGGCTGCAAGTTTACCTTCAAAATTTATCTTCTCCTTGTTATTAATTTTTAGCAATCATTTGTTAGTTATTAAAACTTTTCTTATCCTCTGGTTTACCACTAATCTTTGCGTTGTAGGTACTTTTTTTTTTAATTCAATGCTATCCTTAACTTTCTGATTAACCATGTTTAGGTTATTCCATTTGTAGAATCATTCTGTCTCATTGGGATATATCATTGCTAATGAGCCACAACCAATTTTCTTAAATGTCTGACATCTTTCCTCAACTGTCTTTGTTGCTAAATCCCTTTCCCAGTCCACGCCACACATAGCTCTATCCTTATTTGTTTGAAATTAACCTTATTTACACTTAGCACAGATGTTTCTGACTCAAAATCTCCCTCTCAAACTGAATGCTAAGTTCTACCACGTTATGGTCACTATTTCCGAGGGGATCTTTCACTCTGACATCATTCACTAAATCTGCCTCATTGCACATCACCAGGTCCAAAACATCCTCAACCCACTCGTATCCACAACATATTCATCGGAGGCTGCACTGATGATGTTACCCAGCATGGTAATGAAACTTGTGCGGAACAAGAAACCAGCTCGGCGAGCCAACCAACCTCAACACTCTATTGATTCTTCCTCTTGGTTACTTCTTCCAATCTGACTATCCCAATCTGTTCAACCGTACCGTGTTACACTAATCACTTCAGTACTCTTTCAGGATTCAGGCCTCCAACCTAACTAGAACATTGCTTCATCTGTCCTATCATGTGTGCTGTCAACAAGTTGTCCATTACTAGCAGGAAAAATCAGTATCATTATGGTTACATAAGGGAGCAAGGTCTACAAGATACCATTGTTAAGAATGCCTTAAGCACCACTCACTGTGACGAAATCAGACAGATTTGGGAGAACAACTTAGGATCTTGGAGGAATAAGGCTTGCATCTAGTCCTCCTCATAGTTTCTGTAACAATGTCTGTCACATCAGTATAACTTATACTTAGTTGCTAACATGCAATAGGCCACATCTTGTTTCAGGTAAGAGCACCCTCTCATTCGATGAGCAAGTGATTTTTCTATTCAACAACAGACCTTATAGAAAGATGGTGGTGGCAGCAAACCATGGAAAGCAATAGTGCAACAAAAAACAGAAATTGCTGAAAAAGCTCAGCAAGTCAGGCAGCATCTGTGAAGAGAAATCAGACTTAACATTTTGGGTTTGGTCACCCTTCCTCAGAACTGATGGCAGCTAGTTTACATGCAGCAGATAGGGTGGGGGTGGGCGGTGGTAAGGAGTAAACAATAGGTGGGGATAGAGCCCAAAGAGAGAGAAGAACAGTTGGACAGGCAAAGGAGTGGATAACAATCTGGCTAGGAGGGTAAATGGCTATTAATGGAGACTATTACTGGCTAACAATAGGTGGTGTGTAATGGCAAACTATGTGATAACAAGGCCTTGTGTGTGGGGGAGGGGCCTAAGGTATGGGAGAGTTCAGGCCCTAAAATTATTGAACTCGATATTGACTCCAGAGGGCTGCAGAGTCCCCAAGTGGAAAGTGAGGTGTTGTTTTTCCAGCTTGTGCTGAGCTTCACTGGAACACTGCAGCAAGCCTGAGACAGAGATGTTGGCCAGGGAGCAGGGTGGTGTGTTAAAGTGGCAGGCAACTGAAAGCTCAGGGTCAGTATTGCAGGCAGAATGTAGATGTTCTGCGAAGCGGTGCAATAGCAAGCAATAGTGGAGACAGCCTCATACAAAAACGTGGCCAACAATAAGAATTGCTCATACAACAATTATAGTGGCTGGGAATAGTTGACAGTCATGAAGTTGCAATGTTCATTGTCGAATGCACAAAAAAAAAACTTCTCTTCTGTTGGCTTCAGTGGGAAATTGCACTTCTTGCCATTGAGGACAGAGTGTCAGGGCAAATCGGGAAATTTCCTAATGTGTCGCATTTCTGGTCAAACCATGCACCTGGCAATGTCATCAACTGGCTTCCCAGGATATTTCTATTATAGCTGAGACATTATGAATGCATGATGAACATACCAAAGGTGCAGAATCACTTAGCACAGCAGGGCACTGCATTTACATTCTAATTAAAAAATTATCTCGAGGTGTCAGTTTTGGACTGGGGTGGTCAAAGTCAGAAGTCACACAACACCAGGTTTAGTCCAACAGGTTTATTTAAAATCACAAGCTTTTGGAGCAAAGACTTCACCTGACAAAAGCTTGTGATTTCAAATAAACCTGTTGGACTATAACGTGGTGTCATATGCCTTCTGACATTCTGACTGAAAACCTTAAAAGCATTAAAGGGTTATCCGTCTTTGTGGTCAATAAAAATAAAATGTTTTTACAGCAGCTTTAATAATTGTGCAGATTTAGATCTTTCAAATGTGATATACGAATGTGATTTTTCATTCCAATCTGAAATTTGTTTGATTGAGAACTCCATTAATTGTTCAACTTTCTTTGAGCTGTTGTTCAAAAACACATTTCCTGAGGGGTGTTCATTATGGTGACTGGGCTACTAAAAATGGAGGACACATTGGAGGGTTATGAGGGGATTGGAAAATTGAA